GTGTCATGTCATGATTATGACTCGACTTTAGAGTTTTGATTCCCAGGGAACACACAACTAAAAAAAGTAAAATAAAAAGCATATATTTAAATGTAAAAAATTTTGTTGTTTTTTTCAAAATGTGTTGAACTTCTATCCGTTTAATTATATACTATATAAAAAAAATTACAAATATGACTATTAAAAAATCTGTCACATGTTTTGGTCACAGCCGTGTTACCACAAAATTGTCTCTATTCCAAATGAAAGAATCTTTTAAATTGTTACTTTTGAATAATTTGCTGAGAAACATTTCTCAATTTGTACACATTGTAATGCTGACTTCATTTGTCAACCTCAGCCATTCAACATTGTTACCCAAGTAATTGTAAGGAAAATTATTAAACAAATACTTTTTCTGGATGAATATGTTTATCAGTGCACTGAACAAAAATTTATGTTGAAACAATTTTTACTCAGAAATTGCTAGAAAACTTTCTAGAAAAGTTTAGAAAACAAATAATTCAGAATACTTTTTATGAATAATTTCTAGAAAACAAATAATTACAAAGAAATGGCAAGAATTATTGAATTAATTATAAGAAAATAAATCATCAGACAAATACTTTTTCTGGGTGAATATGTTTATCAGTGCACTGAAAAAAATCATGTTGAAACAATTTTCACTCAGAAATTGCTTGGAAAATGTCACAAATAATTACAAAGAAATGATAAGTATTAATGACATAAACTATTACTGACATTATATAGTGAAATATTATTTTCTTGTAAAGCATTTCATTTTTGTTTTATTTATACCTTATATAAATATTTAAAAATATAAATAAAAGTTTTACAGAACAGTTTTTTTAAAGTGTAACAACAAATCAACTTTATATATAGATAGATGGATGGATGGATGGATGGATGGATGAGAGATAGATTGATGGATAGATAGATAAATGGATGGATAGATGGATGGATGAGAGATAGATGGATGGATGGATGGATGGATGGATGAGAGATAGATAGATGGATAGATAGATAAATAGATGGATGGATCGATGGATGGATGGATGGATGAGAGATAGATAGATGGATAGATAGATAAATAGATGGATGGATCGATGGATGGATGGATGGATGGATGGATGGATGAGAGATAGATAAATGATAGATAAATAGATGGATGGATGAGAGATAGATAGATGATAGATAAATAGATGGATGGATGAGAGATAGATAGATGGATGGATGGATGGATGAGAGATAGATAGATGGATAGATAAATAGATGGATGGATGGATGAGAGATAGATAGATAGATAGATAGATAGATAGATAGATGGATGGATGAGAGATAGATGGATGGATGGATG